GCGAGCAGACGCGCCGCCTGGCCTTCGAGCACTACCGGGCCTTCATCCGCTCCGCCGAGTGCACCGGCCGCGCCGGGCGAGGCTTCGGCGGCATCGAGCGCCGCCTCGGCAGCCTGCTCGCCCGCCTGCCCGCGCTGCAGGAGGCCTGTCGGTGCGCGGGGAGAGGGGAGCGGGGGCACCGGGGCGGCGGCTGGGACCGGGGCGGGAATGGGAAGAGGCCGCGGCTGGGAGGGAGCCGGGAGGGAGCCGGGGATGGGGAGAGGCGGGTGCTGGCAGGGGGGTCCTGGGGCAGGAGCTGCTCCCTGCAGCCTGGAGCAGCCGCAGGAGCAGCCGATCCCGGTGCCGATCCCGGTGCCGATCCCGATCCCGGTGCCGATCCCGGTGCCGATCCCGGTGCTCATCCCGGTGCCGATCCCGCCGCAGGAGCTTCATGCGCGATGCCGAGGAAATCGCCTGCAGCCGGCGCATGAACAGCCTGACGCTGAACCGGCACACGGAGATCCTGGAGATCCTGGAGATCCCGCAGCTCATGGACACCTGTGTCCGCAACGGCTACTACGAGGAGGCGCTGGAGCTCGCCGCCTACGTGCGCCGGCTGGAGAGGAAGCACCGCAGCATCCCCGTGATCCAGGTGCGCCGCGCGCCCGCCCGGCCCCGCCGCCGCCGGCCGACCCCCCCCGGCTCAGGCGCTGTCCCCGTCCCCAGGGCATCGTGGACGAGGTGCGCCAGTCCAGCCAGCTCATGCTGACCCAGCTCATCCAGCAGCTGCGCTCCAACATCCAGCTGCCCGCCTGCCTGCGGGTCATCGGCTACCTGCGCCGCATGGACGTCTTCACGGAGGCCGAGCTGCGCGTCAAGTTCCTGCAGGCGCGGGACGCCTGGCTGCGCTCCATCCTGGCCTCCATCCCGGACGAGGACCCCTATTTCCACATCACCAAGACCATCGAGGCGTGCCGCGTGCACCTCTTCGACATCGTCACGCAGTACCGCGCCATCTTCTCCGACGAGGAGCCGCTGCTGCCCGCCGACGAGCAGCCCCTGCACGAGGGTGCCATCTTCCACGGCTGGGTGCTGCAGAAGGTCTCCGAGTTCCTGCGGGTGCTGGAGGGCGACCTGCAGCGCGGCGTGGGCGGCCGCCTCGACTCGCTGCTGGGGCAGTGCATGTACTTCGGCCTCTCCTTCAGCAGGGTGGGCGCTGACTTCCGCGGGCAGCTGGCCCCCATCTTCCAGCGCGTCGCCATCGGCGCTTTCCGCAAGGCGGTCGAGGAGGCCGTGGAGAAGTTCCAGGAGGAGATGAACTCCTACACGCTCATCTCCGCGCCGGCCGCGCTGGGCAGCAGCGTGGCCGCGGCGGTGCCCGCGGCGCAGCCGGGCTCCCTGCAGCCGCCCATGGTGCTGCTGGACTTCCCGCCRCTCGCCTGCTTCCTCAACAACCTCCTGGTGGCCTTCAACGACCTGCGGCTCTGCTGCCCCGTGGCCCTGGCCCAGGACGTCACCGCCTGCCTGGAGGAGGCGCTCGGCCGGGTGAGGCTCCGGGCGGAGCGCGGCTCCGCTGCACGSAGCTGCTGCCTTCGCCGTGGCCACGTGGAGGGATGTTCTGGCACAGCCTGTCCGGCTGAGCGGGGAGCCTGGCACCATGGAGCAGCAGCAGCCGCTTTCTCAGAGACACACGGGGCTCTGCGGGCCGGGGATTCCGTCTTGTGCCTGCCGGGGATGAGGAATTAATGCTGTTGTCTCCCCGCAGGTGACCAAAATAATCCTGGCCTTTCACCGCGCGGAGGAGGCCGCCTTCAGCGGGCGCGAGCAGGAGCTCTTCGTGCAGTTCTGCACCGTGTTCCTGGACGATCTGCTCCCCTACCTCAACCGCTGCCTGCAGCTCCTCTTCCCGCCGGCGCAGATGGCGCAGGCGCTGGGTAAGTGCTGGTGCCGGGGGCCGGAGCGGCCGCGGGCCCCGCGGAGCCGCGACGCCCCGTGCTCCGTCCCGCAGGCGTCCCAGCCACGCAGCTGCAGCGCTTCTGCCGCCTGGGCTGCGTCGACACCGCCGCCCCCCGGGACGCCCTGGCCGCCGTCCTGCCCGCGCCGGAGGCCGAGGCGGCGCCGGGCGCGGAGCTGCCGCAGGAGATGCCCCCGGCAGCGCCCGTGTCCCCGCCGGCGCCGCGGGACGAGGACGCGCAGGGCCGGGAGAGCCCCGTGGCCGCCAGCTAGACACGGCGCTGTGCTCTGCCGCCGGCGCCCGCCGGCCCTTCCCTCTGCGCTCCCTAATAAACCTGCTCAGTGTCCGTGGGGGCTGCGGGGCTCCCCGTGTCCCCGGGGCTGCCGCGGCCGCTGCTGCTCTGTCCCCAGGCCCATGGGGACCGTTTGCTGCCGCTGGGTGCGTCCCGGCCTGCGCCCTGCTCCCCCTGCTGCTGTGCCGCGAGGAGCGCGCGTGTGCGTGGAGAATGCTACACCCACCCACAACACCCACAGGAACTACGCACACACACAACACCCACAGGAACTACACCCACCCACAACACCCACAGGAACTACGCACACAACAGCCCGACGAAATACACTCGCACAAACAACACCCACACGAAATACACCCCCAGAATACGGACACCCGACACACACAAGACACACACGCGCACACCACCCACGTGACCTACACCCCCCCACAACACCCTCTCGAACTACACCCTCCCCGCACACACACAAGCTCCGCCCACACAACACCCCGC